TTTTTGTTTATAAATAGTTATTATACATATTTTATTTAATTTTATTTCCTAATATTTGTGTTTGTAAGGTTTTACAGGGATATAAAATCCATCTCACAATCAAAAAGATTCATGTAGTTTTCTTCAAATGTTTTGGAGTCATTGGTATCCACACTTTATAATTGTAGCACCAAATGGCGGCAGATATATAATTACTATTCAAGATAAATTTTATGGTGAACTTCAAGATTATAATTTCTCAAAGTTTATGTGTAACTTCTAAAGTTTTACCGATTTGGCTAAAGGCTCTTTTTGTATGGACTCATTATTCATCAGTATCACATGCATATAAAACATAAAATATATATTTTAGTTATTGAGGATTAATTTGTATGAATGTTATACCTGACGAACTCTGTATTTATTGCATGAATCGATAATTATATCTTATGCATATCAAAAATAAAATATATATTTTAGTTATTGAGCAGTAATTTATATGAATGTTATACATGAAGAAATATGTATTTACGCATGGCCAACTTTATGTCGTTGTTTCACGAGTTACAAATGGGAAATGATTGAAAATATTAATTTGTGATAATAAAAATACCCCAAAGACGAAGAACTTTGTATATAAGGAAGTGTTCAATAATAAATAATCATTATGCAGTTGCATGAATTGCAAATGTCTTTTTAATAATTTTTTTTTCATAGCTCCCGTGCATCTGCACGGGCAACTGTACTAGTTAGTTTAAAATAAGATTATTTAAAATAGACATTAGTCATTCATCATTAAAATTGAGAACCATATATATACACTAATTTAAAATGAAATAAGATTATCTTGACATCATTAACATGAATAAATAAAAATATTAAAACATATGTTATTTCTCAAAAAACCATGTGGAAAACACTTTTAATTATCTATACTACTCGTCTACGAAAACACTCGACTTGCTACTTCTCCGAAAAATCATAATTGAACATGTCATTCATAATCATAATGTGGACTTATGGAGAGCTTAATTCCCCTGCCTTCTCCTCCACAGTCCCCTCTGTTTTGCAATATTTGCTGATGGATTTTTCTAGCTGAAACCACAGCCGTTCTACTGAGCCGGTGCAAGACAATTGTCTCAAGGCACGCCACATCTGCAAGCACTTGGGGCAGCGATTCAAGTTCCTCGCAGTTTCTAAGCATTAGGCATTTAAGCTTAGGAAAGTTGTGTTCCGAAGCTTCCCAAGAAACTATGTTTGTGTACCCAATGTGCAGCACTTCAAGGCTACGGAAACCGTCGGAGCCCACCTCCCAGCACCGACCCACGAACGCGTTGTCTTTCAGCTTGAACACCTCAAGATTCTCCAGCATTTCTAGAACAGACATCTGCTCCCAACCGAGAAAAGTGGCAGATAGCGTCAAGCTCCTATGTTTCGGGGGGAACTTGTCTGGAGGAGGAAGGGTGAGTGGGGTCATGATATCATGGATGTCATCATTCAGCAGCTTCAAATTCTCGAGGTCATTTAGTACTCCTAAGTTGTCGAAATTCATAGTGGCAAGTATCCCCCGAATGCCTAATTTCTTGAGGTGATGTGCCCGCTCGAACAAGTCGAGAGTGCAATCTCCGGGTGATATGTTGGCCAGCGTCTGAAGATGTTGGCCTCCTCGGTTGCCAGCTGCTGGTTTTTTGTGCAGGGTAATTGATGTGTTTGTCTTCAAGTCTCTCAGGTGAACCATCGACCTCCAAATATCGGCTTTGATTGCCAAAGTACGAGACGATGTATGGATTACGAGAGTCAGCACGTTGCTTAGCCTGGAAACGGCTTCCGGAAGGACTTTGAAGTCACTAGACAGGACCACGTACGTGAGAAGCATGAGTTGAGTCAGCCCGAGTGGGAATATTCTGAACACGAGGGGCTTCACATGTAAAACCCTCACCAACTCGAAGGCCCCCGGGATTTTTGGGATGTCCTCGGTCGGCAAGGCGATTTCTTCTCCGGAGAAAGAAAAGAAAGAACGAGTGGCTGGGACGTACGGCCCTGGAGAGAAGAACTCCAGGACATTGGAATGAATGCAAATACGGCGGTGCTGATTGTTTTGAGAAGGTTTGATGAAAGTTCCATCGGCATTTTTCCTCAACACTTGGAAGAGATGCTCTTTCCCCTCAGACTCCGCTTTACAGAAGTCATGCACTGTGTCATGAATCCGGCACGTCTTGACCTCACCATTGCTTTTAAGTTTATCAACGATGACCAAGTTTCGGTCGATGAGATCTATTAGGTTCTCGTGTGCTCTCTCCTCCAAGCTCTGTCCATGCCTTGGTCGAACGAAGCCCTCGGAAATCCACAGCCGGGTCAATATCCAAACCGGGATCTCATAATCTTCCGGGAACACCCCCAAATAAAGAAAGCAGTCCCTCAACTCGTCACACATTCTATCATAACTCAATTCCAAAACACTCCTGAAAACATCGGATCCACCACGAGTGTACTTGTCCAGGCTTTGGGATAGCTCTATCCACGACTTCACGATGGCAACCCTTGTTTTTGCTTTTGAGACGCAGTCCCCAAGAATCCCTGCTATCATCAGCAACAGCATCGGTATTCCTTGGCATCGTTCGCTTATATGTCTCCCCAGCCCTTGCAGCTGCGGAGGACATTGCATGTCCTTCCCGAATACTTTGAACTGAAGGAGTCGCCAACCTTCGTCATTCGTCAAGAAACGCAGCCTCTGGGGATAATCATAACGTTCAAAATGTTCGATCCGGTTAAAGATATTGTGATTACGGGTGGTGACAAGGACTCGACCCCTCTTGTTGTCCTCTGGCAAGGCAGACGTGATTGTAGACAATGCCTCAGCAGTCCACACATCGTCCAGGACCAAAAGGAACCTCCTCTCTTGTAGAGACGCACGAATAGCTTTGGCCAGGTCAGATGTCGTCTCTTTGGACATGTCCTTGCTCGTGAATTCGTGGAGGATGACAAGAAAGATGGTTCTCGGGTTGAAATCTTGGGAGACGGAGGCCCATATTCGGGTGGGGAACTCCCGTTGGATTTCTTCGTCGTGGTAAACCTTCCAAGCCAGGGTTGTTTTCCCGAGGCCAGGCATGCCGATGAGGCTGTTGATGGCCATCTTATCAGGACAATATTTTTGCGTGATAAGAGTTTTGATTAATTTGGTTTCCTCATCTTTCAGACCTATCATGCTGTCTCCCATAATTGAGGCTGCCTGTGCACACAAGTTACAGTACATAATATTTTCAGGCTGCATAATATTTTTCATTTCGTAGCTACACGTTA